ATGGCCTCATGGGCACCTGCTCATTTCCTACTCGAAATCAGGGCCAAAAGTCCCATGCCGTCTCCTATGGCCTCATGGGCACCTGCTCATTTCCTACTCGGAAGCAGGGCCAAAAGTCCCATGCCGCCATCCATGGCCTCATGGGCACCTGATCATTTCCTACTCGGAAGCAGGGCCAAAAGTCCCATGCCGAATTCCATGGCCTCATGGGCACCTGATCATTTCCTACTCGGAAGCAGGGCCAAAAGTCCCATGCCGCCTTCCATGGCCTCATGGGCACCTGATCATTTCCTACTCGGAAGCAGGGCCAAAAGTCCCATGCCGCCTTCCATGGCCTCATGGGCACCTGATCATTTCCTACTCGGAAGCAGGGCTAAAAGTCCCATGCCTCCTATGGCCTCATGGGCACCTGCTCATTTCCTGCTCATTTCCTACTCGGAAGCAGGGCCAAAAGTCTCATGCCGTCTTCCATGGCCTCATGGGCACCTGCTCATTTCCTACTCGGAAGCAGGGCCAAAAGTCCCAGGCCGCCTTACATGGCCTCATGGGCACCTGCTCATTTCCTACTCGAAATCAGGGCCAAAAGTCCCATGCCGTCTCCTATGGCCTCATGGTCACCTGCTCATTTCCTACTCGGAAGCAGGGCCAAAAGCCCCATGCCGTCTCCTATGGCCTCATGGGCACCTGCTCATTTCCTACTCGGAAGCAGGGCCAAAAGTCCCATGCCGAATTCCATGGCCTCATGGGCACCTGATCATTTCCTACTCGGAAGCAGGGCCAAAAGTCCCATGCCGCCTTCCATGGCCTCATGGGCACCTGATCATTTCCTACTCGGAAGTAGGGCCAAAAGTCCCATGCCGTCTCTTATGGCCTCATGGGCACCTGCTCATTTCCTACTCGGAAGCAGGGCCAAAAGTCTCATGCCGTCTTCCATGGCCTCATGGGCACCTGCTCATTTCCTACTCGGAAGCAGGGTCAAAAGTCCCAGGCCGCCTTACATGGCCTCATGGGCACCTGCTCATTTCCTACTCGGAAGCAGGGCCAAAAGTCTCATGCCGTCTTCCATGGCCTCATGGGCACCTGCTCATTTCCTACTCGGAAGCAGGGCCAAAAGTCCCAGGCCGCCTTACATGGCCTCATGGGCACCTGCTCATTTCCTACTCAGAAGCAGGGCCAAAAGTTTCAGAGTAATCATTCTAAAACATTAATCGAGAAGAGTTTTGAAAGAGATAACTTGTTATTGAAATATGATACGGACCCACCATGGTATGGGCCTCAAATGTAATAAATGACCCAATTGGCAATGCTGTAACAAGTGGAGATATTGACTAGAATGCCCTCCAACAGATAGAGCGTGAGTGTCATTGAGTTTGTTATATATAAGGGAGGCAGGAAGGAAAGGGGGATCTGGAATATTTGGCATTTGCTTGGGCCCTTTTGGGATTGGGAGAGAGTGGAACCTTTCATATGTGTTCCACATTATCTTTACTTTTGTTGCTTGTTATTTTCATATGGATTCTGTAATTTCTTTCACGTTACAACTTTACTGTTAGAACGTTTCTGTTTGTAATTGTTGCTAGGAAATATATGAATGAGGAATATTGAGATCTGAGTTCTTGAGTAAGCTCTATTTTACATTGATTAATTGGTTGGTCCTTATCAAAATATAACAAAAACAAATTTTACCAAGTTGCGTTGATACAATAGCGAGCTCTTAAAGTAGTCGGATCAAAATAAAAAGATAGAAACATACCAAGTAATTGAAGAAGTAGCAAAATAACAGATATTCAAAGATTCAGCAGACATAGTCATTACAGCACCAAAAGTCATTTAAGCAAAAAACTAAAATAAGTACAAAATAAAAGTGGCATCTCACTCCTTCAAGCATCTTTTGGGGTGTCCTACGATGTAGTCTTATCAGAAGTTGACGCCACACCCACGAACTCGGCAGGACAGGTGGCGAGCACGATAATAGATCCATTCTCATTATGAGTGCATAGTCGGCCATTATCAACAAAGTTGAAGGTGTCGATTTTATCCAAGTTAGTAAGGGCAACATCCGGGTGAAAGAACTTCACTTGGTCGACAGCCCAACCACGAATTTGATGACCAAAAGCAACATATTTAGAGTCCATGTCCTCGGCAGCTTGTTGTAGCGAGCTGACTTGCTTCTTCAGAGTGTCTACTTCCAGTTCCAACTCGGCTACCCGGAGGTCTGAATCCTCAAAGTTCTTTTTCAAAACTTTATGACCTTCAGTCAGCTGGTCATTTTCCTGTTTCAAAGTAGTAAGCTCGTCTCTGGCTTTCTTAGCCAGTTTTTCAGACTCTTTAAGCTTAAGTTGAAACCCCTGCGTGGCAAACTCGGCGGCTTCGGCTCTTTGAGTCAGGCGAGCATGTTTAGTCTTAAAATTGTTATTAAAGAGTCGTAACTCTTTAAACTTGACGATTAATTGCTCCAAGGAAAACGGAGGAGTTAAAGACTTTTCTGTAGGTGATTCAGATCTGGGTTCATTAATCCGAACTTGCTTTCGGGGTTGAGGTTCTCCAGAATCAACAGGCGGGTCCATATCCAAAATCACAGTCTCATTTGGAATGGAACCAGTAGCAGAGGTAGCCGGAATGGAAGAAGGAGTAGGAGAACCTTTTTTTTCACCAGAAGACGAGGAGTGAATCTTCTTCCCAGATACAGTTGAGTCTCCTTGGTGAGCATCCTTTTGTTTTTTACGAGCAAAAAATGAAGGATCCATGATGGTCTTATCTAAAAACAATACACGGGTGCAAAGTTAAAAGTAAAGTACATAGGATAATATAACAACAAGAGGTTAGTCACTTACTTAATTTCTTGCAAATCCAAGCAGGACAATCTTTATTTGCTAAAATAGACTGAGGAGTGATAGAAATATTTTCTTTTGCTAGGATAGAGTCCATGTCCTCGACAGCTTGTTGTAGCGAGCTGACTTGCTTCTTTAGAGTGTCTACTTCCAGTTCCAACTCGGCTACCCGGAGGTCTGAATCCTCAAAGTTCTTTTTCAAAACTTTATGACCTTCAGTCAGCTGGTCATTTTCCTGTTTCAAAGTAGTAAGCTCGTCTCTGGCTTTCTTAGCCAGTTTTTCAGACTCTTTAAGCTTAAGTTGAAACCCCTGCGTGGCAAACTCGGCGGCTTCGGCTCTTTGAGTCAGGCGAGCATGTTTAGTCTTAAAATTGTTATTAAAGAGTCGTAACTCTTTAAACTTGACGATTAATTGCTCCAAGGAAAACGGAGGAGTTAAAGACTTTTCTGTAGGTGATTCAGATCTGGGTTCATTAATCCGAACTTGCTTTCGGGGTTGAGGTTCTCCAGAATCAACAGGCGGGTCCATATCCAAAATCACAGTGTCATTTGGAATGGAACCAGTAGCAGAGGTAGCCGGAATGGAAGAAGGAGTAGGAGAACCTTTTTTTTCACCAGAAGACGAGGAGTGAATCTTCTTCCCAGATACAGTTGAGTCTCCTTGGTGAGCAACCTTTTGTTTTTTACGAGCAAAAAATGAGGGATCCATGATGGTCTTATCTAAAAACAATACATGAGTGCAACGTTAAAAGTCAAGTACATAGGATAATATAACAAGAGGTTAGTCACTTACTTAATTTCTTGCAAATCCAAGCAGGAGAATCTTTATTTGCTAAAATAGACTGAGGAGTGATAGAAATATTTTCTTTTGCTAACTCGGAAGTCAGCTTTTGAAACCAAGTAAAAGTTTCAAACCAAGTAAACCAAGTAAAAGTTTCAAGTTCGTCAGTACTCAAATTCTTTGAGTTAGTTAAAAATGCTTTAACAGGTGTACTATAATAATGTTGGTTCCAACTGAGAGGGAATCGAGGAGCTCCGTCCTGATCCAGAAAGAAAGCAGAAGGAGTGGCAGATTGAAAAGAAGAAGAAGAAGCATATGGTGTAGCCGGAAGAGCTTCAGGTATACAAATCTTGAAATAATCTTCCTTGAAGTTCTTCCAATTGTCTTCGTATATAGTACACCAGCGAAATCTAGGGCGAGCTTTTAAGGAAACCCAACTATGACGAGTACTTCCTCTATCGATAACATTGCGGAATACGGCGAATAGACAAAAGAAAATCCGAAAAGAGTACGTGAACCCAAAAGATCTACAGATTATCTCAAAAGTTTGTAAAAAACACCAGCTGTTTGGATGAAGTTGAGAAGGGGCGATTTCAAGATGGTTTAAGACGTCCATTTGAAATTCAGTGAAAGGTAAGGATACCTTGAGCTCGGAAAATAAGCATTTATAGGCAAAAAAGAAAGAATTCTCACCTTGCCCGGAAGGTGAACATATACGTTCCTCTTCTCCGGGTGCAGCAACTCGAAAGGAAGTAATAATGGAGTCACGGAATAGAGGGATGGACTGTAAGGCAGCATGAAGATTACTCGAATTATTCTCATATAAAGAACGAAGGCCTAGAGCTTCTTCATCAACCCATGCTAGACCTTCCACAATAGAAGGAAGAGCGAAGCGAGAAAGTGGAAGCGAACGGTAGGGACGATTCCTCGGCGGCATGGCCTGGACGGAAAGGTACCAGTAAAACCTAGTTTAGAAGATATATTACAAGTTAAAAAGTTCAAATGAAGAAAATGGTGGTTATCAGTGGTTATAAGGGTATTCCTAGTCCGTCCAGAACGCATAAAGCCGGAAAAAAAGTCTTAAAGAAGATGAAGGAATAAATACAAGGAAGGTTCTTATCAAGATAAAATGTGAGTCTTTCGAGAGCATGTTTAAAGATGCAGGTAATAGTTCTTAGAGTAAAGGTTAAAATTAAACAAGAAAGAAGAAACGAAAGAGAAGAAACAAAAGCAAATGTAAAGATGAAAGTACTTACTGGTATAGTCTGATAACGAACAGCAACCAAATGCAGCAGAGTAGTTTGATGAAGAACAACAACTAAATGCAACAGCATCACACCAAGTTTGCACAAAGAATTTCAAGAAAGCACAGAAAGAAGAAAAGACCAGAAAACTTAAAAGAGAAGGAGATGAAGAAGAAGATGATGGAAAAGAAGGTGGGGGTTTTAAGGAGAAAAAGGAAAGGGGTGAATGGGAAAATCAAAGTAGGTAGTAATAAAGAGAAGCGAAAAAGTAACGGGCTTTTCGAATCTCGAAGGACAATAATGGCTGTCAGGATATGACGTTTCAGATGGGCAACCGTTTGGAGAATCAAGGCAACAAGAAAGTGACAAATGGCAATCAAGATTAGGATTAAGTAGGAAGCATTTAATGAGGATGCTGACGTATAAGAAAGAGAAGATATAAGGGGTAAAATAACTTATAAACTCGGAGTAAAATAGACATTGCACTCCGAGCTTGGGGGCTTAATGTTCCGGGTTTATACATCCGGGTATCAATAGTCAAGGAAAAGAGTTGATAGAACCCGGATGGGGTTTTACCCGGAAGGGAAGTCGGCCAAAATACTATAACCCAAAGTGGGCCCTACCACGATTACATGATGGGTTTCTATAACTACCCACGTTCACAATAACCACCTATGGAAGGGTTATATATACCAAAGACCATAACTAACATAGGGGATAGACAATAATCATACTAATGTTCATACACAACAGCAATAATTTTCAAACGGGGAGTACTAAATTATAGAGAAGCAGTTTTACCTTGAGAACCATCAGCTTTCTTAACTAAGGACTCATAATCAGCCGCCAAGAGGTTGGGGCGCTTTCTTTTAGTCTTAGGTCCAAATGCATCCTCAAAAGGCTGTCTATCAAGAAGGTGAACCCTTGATTGCTACATTCGAAATCCACAAAATTAGTAAATTTCAAAAAAAATAATAATAAAAGAAAGCACATAACTATTAACAAACAAAACAAAATCCTTGCAACAAATAAACAGCTTAATAAATAAACCTTTTGGTGGTCGTTGAGGAGTGACAGTGGCAATTTCTTCTCCTTCAGAATAACATTGTAATTACTCGACATGCGGCTCTGCAGCTCTTCTCTGAAGAACTCAAGCTCTTTCTGATTCACAACCCGAGTGTTCCCTACAGATCATGAAACCGAAAAATTAAAATAAAATAAAATTGTCAAAACCATAAAATTCACAAGTTCAAGTTGAAGAATCGTGATTATTATTTTATTTTTTGTTGTGAAATTGAAACTAACCGAACCAACGGCGATCAGGTTGGATTCGCGTGCTGGGAAGCTCCTTAGACTGATATTCGTTGGTCAAAACCTTTCCCTTGCGGTCGCGAACTGGCCTCGTGTTGTACATCTTGAGGCGGCGCACGGTGGCGGCGGAGCGTGACTCCTTCTTCGTGTCATTGCTGCGATTCACGTCGAGTGAATGCTTCGGTTTTCCCGAGACGTTCACTTTCCTCTCCTTCTTCTTCGTCATTGCAGAGATAGAGAGAGAAACACAGAGATATAGAGAGAGAGAGTGTGTGGTAGTGAGGTTCAACTTGGTTTGTTACGTTCAACTTGGTTTGTTCCAACTGAAAGAGGGGTACCGCCAAATACACACAGTTAAGGATTAGGGTTTCGTTCTCCAGAGACAAACGGTGGGAACTTTTCTTTTCTTTTCTTTTTGCGAAAAGGATTAAACCGGGGAGATTATTTATAGTGGAGTGGTGGGGACCAGTGTAAATGGAGAAATAAAATTGAAAAAAAGAAAATATCACAATGGTAAAAAAGGAAAAAAAAATTGATGATATGATAAAGAGCATCAGATTATTCGATGATTCTGAATAGGGGTGTTCGCGGTCTGGATTGGATCGGTTTTGGAAGCAAAAATCATCCGATCCAATCCCTTCGGTTTGATCATATAATTATCCATTCGGTTTGGATTTTTTTTCAAATCCGATCCGATCCGATCCAATTTTTTTCGGTTTGGATTGGATCGGTTTTCGGTTTTTAGAAAATCCTAAAATTTATTTCATGATTATTGTGCAAATAACATCTTTTGTATATATTCTCTTTGTAAATTATTATTTTTTGAAATACAAAAACATTAGTAAACTATAATATAGTTTTTTTTTTGGACAATGAGATATGAAGCTCTACAAAGATAAAATTTTGTTGATGAGATGTGATTAGATTTTTTCTTGGATTTAGTTAATGGGTCTTGGGTTTAGAAATTTTTTGGTTATAATTAAGGAAAGACCCAAGTAGGTAGAGGAGAATTAATATATTGGATCGGTTTGGATTGGATCGATTTTCATCAACTCATCCAAAAACCGATCCAATCCAATTAAAATTTGCGGTTTTTTTTCGGTTTTTGATTTTTCGGTTTTCGGTTTAATCGGTTTTCGATTTTTCGGTTCGGTTACCGCGGTTTGAATCGGTTTGGATCGGTTGATGAACACCCCTAATTCTGAACCATAAAAAATATTTCTAAACCGGGGCCCCAAAGTTAAGTTAGTGGGCCTTGGAGCTCCTATTAAGAAAAAGAAAACAAAAAGTCCAAGAAAAGAGCCAGAATATTTTTATTATTTTTTTATTATGTATTTAAATAAGATTTTTCAGCTGAAAAAATTAAAAAATATATATTTGAGAGTCAGAGTATTTTGGTTGAAAGTTGTTTTTATTATAAAGTCATGCTTACTCACCTACTTTGATAATATTTTTAATTAATAAAAACTGTTTCGAATAATTTTAAAATGAAATTTAAATGTTTGGAATAAGAAAAAAGAATTTTGTATACCTTATCTTACACCGTTATACCTAATAAAAGAAAAAAGAACGAGAGAGAATGTGTATTTAAAAATGTGTTTTTTTCTATTTTATTACTTATAAAAATGGCAGAAAATTTTTGTAATGAAATTGTGTGTAAATAAAATAGTCTTTTTTTCTTCGTAAATTCAAGAGGTATCGCCACTCAATCAGAGGGTGTATTTACAAAAACTGTCATAATCAAACTAACAGAATTCAAATTATATCATCTGAATTAGTTTATTTTATCTTTATTTTGATTTCTTTAATTTATTTTATCTAATTATTAGTAAGATTTAATGTTTGTCCTTTTAAATGACATAGAATTATATTATTTCAAGTGAGAAAAAAACACAAACAATGAAAATAATAGAAAAGAAAGTAAGTATTTTTTAAAAAATTAAATTTTAAATACATTTTTTTAAGTTGTGTCTCTTTCACACTTAAAATGAAATAACTCTATTTCCTTTAAAGAATAAATATTTTTACCTTATTAATATTAGTTAACTTATTTCAAATTATATTATTAGATAATTTATACTTATCCACAAAAAAAGATTTTTATAGTTATGTCTATGTTTTTATATTATATCTTAGAAATGAACTTTCATTTACTACAATCAGATTTAAAAAATAACAATAAATAATTATTTTTTTTGCAAAGATTTGTGTCGTTAGTCTTTGGAATTTCACAAATTTATATTTACAAAAATTGAAATCAGATTTAGTAATTTAATTATAAAAGAAGAAAGATAAAATTTAAGTTGAATTATAAAAATATATTAGCGGGCCGGCCCTCTGGGCCGAGCTCAGCTTTCCACCTCTAACTATCAGCATTTTATATAAATAATTTTTTTTTTGAAAGGATTAGTGTCGTTAGTCTTTGAAATTTCACAAATTTGTATTTATAAATAATTTAATTATAAAAGAAGAAAGATAATATTTCAATTGAATTATAAAAATATTTTTATATATTTTTGAAAGTTTAATTTCTTTCTTATGGTTATTTAAAAAAAAAATTTACATGTATTTTTTATTTAAAAAAATTTTTTTATGTTAAAATTTAAATTTTTTTTTCTATTTTATTTTTTGTAAATTATAAATTATGCCATTTCTTATTTTTTCTTTATAAATTTTAAATTTTAAATAATTTTTATCGACTATAAATGTTAAATGCTGAACTATTTTTTCACCTATCAAATTCAAAATTTAAATTTAAAAGTTTGAATTATAAATATTAAAAACAATTCTCACTCAATAGACTTAAATAATAAATATTATTAATAAACTTAAATTCTTTCACAAAAAGTAGTGGAAAACATGTATTAAAAACCGTGCATATTCTCCAAGTAATAACTTCTAGTTATTCACTCACGACATAGAAAATTGTGTTAATTACACTCTTACATCAAAAGAATAATAAATTTATTTCTTATATATTAAATTATTTTTGTAGTGATTAAATTTTTATAATTTATTTTTTACAAAATGATAGATGTCATTTTTATTTTATTAAAATTTAAAATTTAAATTCTTTGTATTATTTTTGTACCGAGTGTCACAATTATATAACTCCATTGATAATAGATACTAATGCATTCACTTGTATTTGATTGTAAACTTTAATTGTAGCATACGTTATCTCACCATTAAAATCATCAATAAATTCAAATGTTGAAAATTTAGGGAATTGGTATTCATTTTAATTTTATTCCATCAACATACATTAATGAACTTTTCAACGAACTAAAGGAGGTTTTTTGAACATATTTTTTGTATTAAATTAATATACACTTTTCAATAAATATTATTATTCTCATTTCTATGTAGAAAATAGTGAGATATTAATACAATTGTCTGCCACTAATTAATGTTGAAATCTTTTTCTACCTATATTATGTTTAAAATTCGAATTTTGAAAAAGTAGTGTGGGTATTTTTTTTTGGTAAGCAGTAGTGGGGGTATTAATATAGATGTTTGCCACCAATTAATGCTGAACTTTTTTTACTCTTATATTAAGTTTAAATTTCGAATTTTAAAAGTTACTGGAATTTTAATAGGCCTGGCAAATACCAATGCAGGAGTTAGTGAGATCTTAATTGAGTTTTTAAAAATATGAAAAGTTATTATAATAGGAAACATTTCAAATTCCTGTGGGTGTGAACACAAAGCTGAAAAATAATTTAGAAATTTGAATTTGATATTATGAATCAAGACAATTACAATATGAGAAGTTGAAATAATAATTATTTTCTGGGTACAGAAAATAAGAGCCCCAAACACAACAAAATGAAGAAACACTCTCTAAAAAAATATGAAATTAATATGTTGTGCTATTAGAAATTTATCCATCGGTTACAAATTCTTTTTCAGCATCAAGACAAAAAACTATTCACAGGCATCGAAGACGTTGAAGACAAAAAACACAGGCAAGCACTACACAGCATCGAAGACATTGAATACAGGCAAAAAACTATTCACAGTAGCAAGAAACATGAAACATTCCATCCTGAAAAACGAAATAAAGAGAATAAGTATACAGAATACAAAACAAACAAAAGAGAATTAGTATACAAAAAATGAAAACAAATTAAGATCATTTGTTTATAAAGGAACCAAAAAAAAATACAACATCAGCTACAAAAACGAACGAAGAAACAAAACATAGGCAAAAACTATTCACAGTAGCAAGAAACCTTCCGCCCTGAAAAATTAAAAAAGAGAATCAATATACAGAACACAAAACGATCAAAAGAAAATCAGTAGAAAAAATGATTGTAAATCATTTGTTTATAAAGGAACAAAAAAAATACAACATCAGCTACAAAGACGAACGAAGAAGCAAAACACAGGCAAAAACTATATCAGTATAAAAAACACAAAACGAACAAAAGAGTATAAACAACAATACCTACAAACACAAACGAAGAAACGAATCGGAGGCACTCTCCCATGACGTAAATGAATCGGAGGTTCTTCCTTGATTTGCTGTTAGTGTTCGTCTCTTTGGGCAATTCACACAACTCTCCCCTTTTTTCTCAGAAACCTCAACTTCCTTTTTTGGAAGACGAAAATTAATATAAAGAAGCTATTTTTCTCAATGAAACAATTAGCAAAAATTGTATACAGGACAGAAGAACGAAATAACAATGCACAACGTTTCTTTTTATAGACGACGCAAGCAACAAAAGAAAAGCAATCAGAAATTAAATGAGTTGTCTGCCACCCAAAACTTTCCAAATCTCTTCCCACCATCCATATATTCAAAATTTCAAATATAAAATTCGAATTTTATATATAATAATTCCAATGTAAAAAGCAATATCAGTATACTACAAATGGTCATTTATTTTTCGATTTAAAAAAAAAATATCGATTTTTAAAAGAAATTCTTTTTCCAATTTACCAAAGAAGGAAAGTTTTTATATGACATGTTAAATATATGATGAAAACCAGTTCCTTGTGCCACACTCTTGTAATCATGTGTGCCATCCCTATATTAATAAAATAGTTTGATTATATGTTATTATAACTATGCAACTTTATGATGAAGTCTTTAGGTTATCTCTATTATATGAAATTTGGGCATAATCCTTATATGTAATCCGTAGATGTTCTTAATAGTTTGGTATGAACATTTCTATATATATAGGTATTTGTTTTTTTTTTTTAAATTTAAATTACTACATATGATAATTAGAATATTTTTGGAAAATT